GGCCGAACAGTCGCCCGACAGCGTGACTTTCAAACACCTGTCGGAATGGACTGTGCGTACCATCCTGGCAAAGTCCTGCCCAAAGCTTAGGGCACTCATCGTTTCGCATTTCATCCAAATCGCCACCATCCTCCACCAAATGCGAAACGTGCACTCGGAGGTCGCCATCCTCTCCGCCCTCTCCAGCGCTCCCATAGAACGGCTCAAGGGCACCTGGTCTCGTGTCCCCAAGAGCCGACGGCGAACTTTTCGCACTTTGTGGGAGCTGCTGTGCTGTCCCCACGAGACGGACACGGACTGCCCAACGTCCAAGATGGAAAAGGTGTTTAGTTCCAAACCTTTCCATCAGTCCGTCTCTTTCGATCATCTCAGTGTATGGCCTAACATCCAACACCTGTTAGAGCCTTGCTATTTTTCTGAGTTAGAGCCTGGGGACTTTTGCCTTCATGGTCTCTTTGGAACTGGAGCCATGAAGGAATACTTCGACTCTACCGAGTTCGAAATTTGTCGAAGAAGAGTTCTTCGATAGTTTTCTTGAATTGGAGACAATTAGAAAATAAATTACTGCTTAACAGTGAAACAAGAAATTTTTTTACTGAATTATGAAGTTCATTGACAAAGGGGCTGTTTTATTCAGTTGATGGTGTTGGAATGGAACAAATTATTGATTAGCAGAGTAACTATCAGCATAAGACTGATGGACAGAACACCGCTGTCGATGGGAGGACAATCACACATTCCATAAAAATAAAACATCAAATCGATGGATGGAATGTTTGAGTAGCTTTTCAGGAATTCTGAAGAAATACACAAACTAAAAAGATTTCATGAAACAGATGAAATACGAATTCAAGAAAATCGATTTATAAAAGCCAGTAATGAAATAAATATATTTTTAATCAAGGAAAATGTTCCGATTAAGACATAAATTATATACAATAAATGAATGAAGAATTCCTTAAAAGAAAATTAATTCTAATTCTCGAACACTGATAATATATTACTGAAATTAACATTGAAGTCAAAAGCGACATAGGATGGAAATTTAGAAGTGAAAAATTACATACATTAACGAGGAAGGAAAACGAAGAAAAGATTAAAAAAAAATAACTTGCACTGACAGTTAAGAAAAAAATTACCAAAAAAATATTCATAAAAATATTAATAAACAATTGCAATACAAATTCGACATTTACAGAATACCATTATCTTGATGATTTCCCCATTATTCTAAGACGGTGGGTAAAACCAAGGCTATAAAAGTAACGATATAAGAAAATGAGTTTGCGAAGAGAATTTGAAAAAGAAATTTTTGATGAGCAAGTTTAGACTTTATATACAGTGGAAAAAATTGATAGAATATAGGTGGAGGAAAATCATTGTTTATCAGTGGCGTACATAAAATATTCAAATTTATCTCTCTCAATGTCCAAATGATTTCGAGAGGATATTTTACCAATTAACTATAATTTGATTATACTAAAAGAACATTTAAGAATTTTTTTATCGAAGAAAGGAACAAGCAATTCTGAAAATAATTTCTAGATTTTAAAGCTGCAAACCTGCCTAAAAAATGAACTATTCGAAATATATAATCGAATAATGAGATACAAGGAAAAGATTGATTGAACCTTTGCTGGCTTATAAGTAAGTTTTTTTTCTTTTTGTTAAATTTAAACTTGTAAATTAATAAATTTAATAAAACAACAATCTAAATAAGAAACGTTATTCTTTTATAGCGTTATCTGAGACCACTCAACGCACTTCAAAACACTGAATCTGCGGAAAACAACATTTGACAACACACTTGAGGGATTGCGAACACAACAACACTTGATGGTTGGCGAAAATATTCCATCCCAAAATGTTCATATGTTGAGAAAATCAGTACACAGTAAAGATGCTCAATGGAACAAAAACTGACGATTTCTTGGAAAATACGAGGAACTTCAAATCAGTTATCCATGTCATGTGATAGTGCTATTGAAGAGAGGTAAGTTTTATTTAGTGAGCAAAGGTTTGGTACTTACGTATTATTGCAACAATCGTCAACTCTATTAATAACTCGCCAAGTTGGCAACCCCGATTTCTTATGTATCGTCCCGCTGAATTGGCAACCAGATGCTTCGTTTCAAATAATGTCGCCAATAGGTTGCGATAATACTTAAGTACCGATTGCTCTCTCAAATTATTCGTTATACGTTCTATATTAATTTGGGTACTTACGTATTATCTCAACAATCGCCAACGTTCAAGATAACTCACCAATCTGGCTAGGGCAATTTCGCATGTGACGTACGCGCTGAATTGGCAACCAGGTGCTTCGTTTCATATGATAGGTTGCCAATAGGTAGCGATAATACATAAGTACGAAATGTTTTATAACAGAATTTCTTTACTTCTCAGTTATGACTAACAAACTTATCGAAATGTTAATTATTTTACAGATTCATTCAAGTATCCCCAGTGAAAAAGAATGCTTGAAGAAATCTCTTTGAGTTTCGATTCTAAAAGTTAAAACGGAGATTAAAAAACAACAGTACTAAGAGGTGAAACGAAGAGGAATAATTTGGAATCAAAATTTAATGTCAAATACTGCCTGAAGGAAAAAAAATTGCTGATTTTTACGATAGCGGAAGAATTTTAAATAAGGGAGCAAATACCGTGATTTTTTTTTTCAATGAAAAATGTAAGTAAAAGTACAAAAAGAAATACGAAAGTGCAAGTCTACGTAACGTAAAATAAAAACTATAAAACTGATGGATCGAAAGCTCTAAGATAATATATTTAAATAACTTGCAGGATTATCAAAAATTAAAAATCATTACTCTAAATATCGGAAAATAATTGTATTTTGGAAAAAAAAAAAGAAAAACAATTAGAGATAAATGCTTTGGCTCCAACAAGAAAAATTCTTACAAAAAGTAAAAATTAATTTTACGAATTGCGATAAAAGAAACAAACACCAACAAAAAATTCGTTTTATTCTGAATTTAGTTTAAAAATTCGAGCTATTTCTAAGAATTAAAAGGTATCACGCATCATTATTACAAAAATATAGAAAATATCAACACAAAGCCTGAATGTAAAAAAGAATTATTGGAAATTAGAACACACAGATTATTTCAATAACTGAACTGTACAAGAAATGATAGAAAATTGGGAAATGAAGAAAAATGAAGGTTCATTGAAATATTGAGTCAGCGTCAAATAGAATAAAAATTTAGAAATAATTATAAAACTAGAAATGGTAACAAATACATAAAACAGACAACAAAGGAAAAGACTATTAAAAACGATAAAAGTTAAACATCTTTTGTGAAAACAAATTCAATAAATTAAGATATTTGTACGAATATATATTTTACAACAAAAAAATTATGATTATACACAATGTGACCCTTGAAGGGTGAAAAATTGGTCCTTGGGTTTCCACACACATTTTTGAGTATGGATAAAAGTAAAAAAGCATTATGAAATTAATTTTGCAGGCTCTCTAAGAACAAGATTACAAGACAAACAATTTCTGTGAAGAGGAAATTAATGAAAACTTTACTCTATATTTATTTGAGAAATGAAAATAATATCATAACAGTGGATGAAATCATTGGCTTATCAATAACTTGAAATTAATCTCAAATGACCCCAAAACCCCCTAACTGGAGATTTTATTTTTATCACAAAGTTTTAGATAACTGGAAGAACATTAAAATCATTTTCACTGGAAAAGAAGGACACACAAGCAAATGTTTCTGAAAAGAACTTTGTGATTTCAAAGGCCACAGCTGTCTTAAGAAATTAGTAATTTAAACTAAAGCATCAAATATAAAGAAATGATGAAAGCGAGAAACATATCAAATTTCTACTCTGAGCACAACATTTCTTGAGAGTTTGGAGAGATACAGATTTGTGCTTTTCGGACAAGAACAAAATGAACAATTACATTGTGCTATCCTAAAGATTTAAATACTTAAGACAGCATTACAGAAGAAATAATTAATACCGAGGCACTGAATCACCTAATTTTGTCTAAAAGTTCTTCGCATAACATATTTATAAAGTGACGTTGTATAAAAAAGAATGTGACACAAAGGTGGACGAAAAAACAAACTAGGCAAAATGTTCCAGTTTCAAGAAATGGAATTCTGACGCGGCACTACAAAAACACTCGTATTGAAAATATATTTTACTACAAGTTTTCAAAAAGTCTGCTTTATTATAAGTAAAAGTACCGTGTTGGTCGTTTACAAAAAGTACAGTCTAAATATGAAGTTGACTAGGGAAAATACATGATGAATGAAAATGATCAATGAAAAAAAGAAATTTTATTCATAAATGGTTGCTCTCAATATATAGGAATTTCAATAGAGCATTTGAATTAAGGGTAAGATCCATTTTTTCAGATTGAGTTTAAAGTGAGTATTCTGTTCGTATTTTTATTGATTTCAATAAAATAAATGATTCTTTTTCAGGGTCACCTGAATGCGAAGGAATATTCTAAAAAGTCGTGATCGTTTGAAACGCAAGCAAGAGCAATCGTTAAGAAACCTTAGGAAGATGACAAGAAAAAAAAATTCCATAGAAAAATTACATGAGATTTTTAGAAAAAATCAAAATACATTCATTGAAATATGTGGAATTTCTAATAATTAACGAAGCTGGTTGAAAATTTAGTCAGTTTCAGAAAAATAGTGGTAAGTTTATTTTACTAATGCTGAATTTGTATTTTTCAATTGCTACTATTAGTTAACACTCTCCCTATATATATTTATTTATATAAAAATACATCTTGTTCAAGTTTTGAATTATTAATAAAATATTTATTATTCATCCACTGAAGTTCAAATACATTTTTTAAACTTGTAGTGTATGACATTTGATGTTATACACAGTTTTTTTTTTAAAAAAAAATTCATAGATTTTTCTTAATTAATTAATAAATAGTAACAAACAAGAATAATAGTCCAACAATATATTTAGAAAGGAAAATCGCTAGTTGTATCCCTGTAGTGCAATGGATTGCGCTTTGGACTTCTAATCCAAAAATCGTGGGTCCGACTCCCACCTGAGATGGCCTAATTACTGAGAACGAGATTTTTTTGCTATACTTTTTTATGATAATAATTAAATTTAATTAATGAACAAATAACAAACAAAAATAATAGTCCAACACCATACATAGAAAGGAAAATGGAAAATTGCAAGGAAAATCGTTTTCTATTTTGTCTCTTAATATTGTGATTCAGTCATATGTATATACATATTTATATATTAATTGTAATTATTTAATAAAATTAACTAAAATATAAAATTTTCTTTGTTTACCTAAGAAGAAATTGGATTAAATTTTTCTAAATTACTTTTTAATATGCAATTTCACATTTAATCAAAACTTAAGTTCATGTCACTCTTGCAGAGTCTCCAAAGTATTCATATTCAACAGATGTACGTCCATTCTTTGGTGTGTATTCAATAAAAGTTCCGCAATATTGGAAACGCAAAGAATGGGAATCGAGTGAAACTTATCGACCTTATTTCCCCTGTGGAGATGAATTCACAAGCAGAAAAATTCTCTAAGAGCTGAAACCCAAATATAGTTTAAAAGGGGAAATATTTAAGAAGTGGTAGTACATATTAAAAAAATATTTTTCATCAAAGAATGCTTGGTCTAAAATGAAATGTAAATGCGCCCCACAGAGCAACACGATAAAACTTAGAATACGCGGAAAAAATACAAGAATAATGTAAACGTTTAAAAATGATTTTAATAAACATTTTATAGCAGTTGCTTGAAAGAGCAACCTCCAATGGCAATTCAAGAACATCGACGAAAAAGAGATTGCTGAATGCTCTGAAATATTACAGGCATATCACGAACCTTTCCAACCACTGCAGTTGAGAGTATTGCGAATAGGTCCTCAACGTCGAGAGAAATCGCATACACCAGACACATCTGGGGGACTGAGTGGATTATATACAGGACCACTTAGCATAATCTCACGAATTTGGAAACTTAACCTCCACACAATGCCGTTCTTTTCGATTAAAATAACATAGATCTCCGATGTGTGGGAACTACATACACAGGGCAGAGTTAAGTTGAAACATCCTCCACAGCAAGTCTGACGGTTCTGTTGCAGAAATACCTAGAATTTGCTTTCAACAAGGTTCCGACTGAAGACGCAGTCTTAACAGGTGCTCACTGAGGATACCAAATATTTGAAGGAGAAGCATTGCTGCACCACGGAGGAATTATAAACGAATAAATGCGATCTCACGCGATAGAAGAATCACCGGAGAAAAAAAAAGGTTGCAGCCGAACCTGGACGTGCTGTAAAAGCCATTCGGCCAAGTTCTCGAGAATATCCTTCATCAATGCCTTGTATCAGTGAAAAAAATTACCAAGCACAACATCTCACCCTTCAGAATCCATCCAAGCTTCGGTCCACAACTCTAATTAGCTGATCGACCACCGTTTCCAAAATCACTTCTTTTACATCTGTTGTTCTGCCAATGTTTCGATGATTTGCATCAAACAGCGGAAGCAAGAAAAGATACAAGTTCTGAAGCAACCACGGAAATATTTTCGGATTGGTCACCTGTTTGTGTGGGAGATGCTTTCAATATTTTCTTGCTCCCGCAACGGTATTCCTTTTGTAGTGGAGTAAATGAAATGCATTTTTGCTTTTTTAATATTATTAAAATTTGCCACCATCCTGTACATTATAACTGATAGAAGGGTTGCCTCAAACAACAACTTATCAGGGTAGACGTTGGCGCCTTTTACTCATTGTGACTCAGACTTGCTTACGATTTCTTCTTCTTCACTTTACATTTACATACATGATTATTTTTCTTCCGACAAATCATCACAGGAATGCCGTTTCAATTTCTACGGAGAGACCGCTTTGAAATGAGCAAGAGCTTTTTGCGTCTCATCTTAGACCATGCATTCTTTGGTGAAAATTATATTGGCGTGTACCAGCACTTGTTAAAGCTTTTCCGTTTTTCTTCTGAATCACAAAGCCACACAACTCTTTCTATGACAAAGACAAAGTTCCTGCTTCCAAAGCAATTTGAAACGGATAACATAAATAACTGGAAGTCTTCATGTGTGAAAATGGATAGAATTTCTAGAATGTCGTTAGTGACTTCCACGTTTTTCCACGAAGAAAAGGTAAGTTCGATGTAGAACATTATATATATATATATATATATATACGTATATAAATTTGTAATTATCAAGTTATGTAATATAAAACATTGAATTCCTTAACATTCACGAAAGGATTGCTTAAATGGTTTAGTAAATGGTTAAAAATTATAAAATTCCTTGTGTCTTTTTAAATCATTTGTAGTTCTTTGTATTGTTACGTAGATCGGGGTTCGAGGATTTTCTGCTATCAGTTCCAAGCCGTGTAGGGGAGCGGTGCACGTAAAATCTGTCGAGAGCTCAAACATCCTCCCTTGGTGTGGTGTGGTAGTTAGGAGAGGGGTGCCAGCTCAGGTGTCGTCCGCGTCACTTGACCATAGTTCAAAATTACGCGGACCGTTAATTTGCATAATCACGTTTTCTTACCTTCGGCAAAAGTTGGTTGGTAAAAATGTTTCCCCAGAAAAGTCCCCTAGGGGTTAATAGACGCGTATAGATCCGTCACAGAGTCTCTATGCATAGTAATGCGAGACATACCGATCGAAATATCATCTCCAGGTTTGACAAGGATATTGTTAACGAAGAAATTGTACAAAGAAGATTTAAAAAGCTGTGTACAGAATAATTTTAAAAATATGGTTCTTGGGAAGCTATTTATCCTTGCTGTTGATGATGATGTTCCCCGATCGCTGGAGGAAACTGATTCTTCACGCTTATAGATTTTCTTTTTAAAAGAACCCGAGAGTGTTGTATAAAAACGTTCGTAAACACCTCAAGCACATAAAAGAGATTAACAGGTTGAAAAATTGGGTCTTACATGAGTTAAGCGAACCCCAAATTCAGCGAAGTTTTGAAATTTACAATTCATTTTAATTAACACTTTGTACATATCGGAAATTTAGTTACAAATTAGAGAAAGCAGAGCAAAAGCCATCTGATATATTTAGCACACACTTCACAACGTTAAACTAAAACTCACCTTGCTGATTCCGAATATTTCATTCCTGTATATCTGTAATCAAACTCGGTATGACTGCAGCTGCTGAGACTATAACAAACACAAGATAAAACTAATTTCAATTTAATATGTCTCTGACTTATTGATAACTTAATTAGTGTTAGAGAGACTCTTTTTCACACGTGACTCAACAGCAATAATTAAAGATTACTTATCCCCCAACAACAAAAATAGGGAGGGAAACAGATAGACTCGTAGATGATTTTCTGAGCAAACACTCTAAATCAGGGGTCGGCATCCTTTTAGCAGTGACGTGACAAACCAATTTACCAATAGGATTCAGCATGACACACAGAACATTTTTGAAACAATTCGATTCCCGCGATAATGCATGCAGAGTTAGATAATAGAGGTCAATAATACGGATATTTACAGTTTTATTATACAGTAGAACGTCGTTTATCCGAACGTTTATTATCCGGAGTGCCGAATATCCGGACCAGTGATTTTTTTTGTCAACTACATGTACTGTATATGAATACGTTTTTCGAACAGTGCAATGCTCAAAAGTTGCTTCGCGTCAGGCTAAAAGTGACAGGAAAAACCAAGGTGAGGGATATTTGTGGAATTTCAATTGTGTGATTTGGTGAAAAATGCATGGAATAAGCTGTGGCCAGATTAAGATGGTGAAAAAAACTTCAATGACGACCACAGGGAGGAGATTACTGACTTTGCTCAATTCCGGAATTGAAAGAATGCGATGAAGAAGATGTAGAAACCTAGATGGCATACGATGCAAAAGACTGTGGATTTCGAATGCTAAATAATGACGAGATTAGGATTTCCGTGCAAGAAGAATACGACCCTGTCGACGATGAAACGGATGAAGACGAGGACAACAAAGAAAGTAGCAAATGCTGACGCGTTATTTGCGTTAGAAGCAGCTATGGAGTGGTACGAACAACAATCAGAGGGCTGTCCTACTCAACTACTGCTGCTCAAGAGAATCAGAGACCTTTCAGCGGAAAAACGAAGGTGCACAATAATACAGCAAAAAATAAGTGATTTTCCACAATAATGGTAAAATTGCAACATTTTGTACCTATTTTGCTTTTTCTTCGTGTCCCGCATGTGATGATTTTCAATATTCGTATAGTGTCCTGTTTCATATACTGCTTGGATCGCATTCGGTTTTCGGTTATCCGAACGGTGTCCGGTTCCAACTGATTCGGATAAACGACGTTCTATTGTAAATTAATTTTGCGTCATTTAAAGATATTTCTTATCATAAAAAATAAACAGCATACAATATAACTCTTTCTTCAACAAAAATTAAAATTGTTCATATCTTATGCATTTTAAACATATTTATTAACATAACAAATAGACAAAATAATATATATGCATTTGCGTTCATTATAGTAGAATTAAAAGGATAAATAAAAGTTTTAATTTTACCCTTGTGCTTGTGTGTGCACCGCTTCACTTTCATATTGTAAAATCAAATAAGAGCTATGGCTTAATTTGACACGATTCTGAGCTTTCAATTGTTAAACAATGCGCACTCGAAATATTTGCATATGAGTAAAGATATTTTACTCAGAAAGGTAGAACCAAAGGAGAGGAAAGCAGAAAAGGCGTCTGGAATGAGAAGCACTCTAAATCATTTGATTTCTCCCAAGAGCAAGCTCGCATTAAGGCACAAGGTTCTGTTATATAAAGTCATTCTTCGCCCCCTCATGCTGTACGCTTCTCCCATCTGGGCAGGTGCGGCAGTTACTCATCTGAAAAGATTGCACACTTTTCAAAACATTCAACTGCGTAGAGCAGCAAACGCACCTTGGTTCGTCAGGAAAGAAGTCTTGCATAAAGATCTTAACGTTCCGCCGCTTCTTGATTTCATTGAAAAACAATCAGAAAATTTTTTCAACCGGTTGCCACAGATTCCAAAGGAATCCATCA